CCAAAAGATTATTAATAAATACCTCATTGTACTCTTTTAATACAAATACTCTATAATACAACTTTTAAAGATGGCGAAAATTTCATTATACGCCGTAAAATATGAATTTCAGCAGCCTTATTTCTAATAACTCAAATGATGTTCTTTAAAGATACTTACTGTTTAGATTAATTATGCAGCGCAACAATCTTTCTTTGTACTCTTGATGATTATTATTTCGCTTATACTTTGACCAATGTTGATAAAAATCTTGATGAGAAGTTTTGACAGTTTGTTCACTATAGGACCCCAAGGGGGATCCTTTGTGACTGATGAAATCCTTGATGTGGTAGAAGTCGGAGTGAATTTTGGGTGTTACGCTTGCACCAGTTATCATTAGATAACACTTTTTAAAATTCTCAATTTTTTCAGCAAAATCCGGCTAAAGGATGTATCCAAAGCAAGCCTTGACAACTAAATTGAAGCTTTTCAATGCTTCAATAATGAACACAATATTGGAAACCATGTTTGTTTCAGCAAGTTGCTGCAGCATATCCACATTTTTAAGAAACTTCCTGCATTCATTTCCCTCAAACTGGCCCCCGTTTTACGGGCTCAGTTGAATGTGGAGGGCGGATATACTTTCATATCACAAGCCAAATTTAGTTTAGCTCCATTTACATTAATCAGTAACCAGATTTGTTGAATATTGGAGTGTGTTTCTGGCAAATCTTCTGAATCCCCAACAATAATTTGTCTCTTGACTCCAGTGTCTTTACCAGTCCTTTGAGTGAGAGGTTGTTGTTGGTGCGGTGAGCTGGTTTCATCCATAAACGCAGTATCAACAATGCTTAGGCAAAACTTGAGAAAACCTTTGCCACCATCAATTCCGAGCTTAACAAAACAGCCACCAGAAATTTTGCGGGACTGAATAACATGATTCACAAGACTTGATAAAACATTGCAGTGAGCAACAACATGAACTGTACAAGAATCTGTTTTTTTGTCTGTGATTTTAAAATCGCTGCAGGTGAAGAAATCGGTCAATTGTTGACCTAGTCTTTCAAACAAGTTTGGTTCAAACAAGTTTGAACAAAAATAACATTTATAACATTTAGTGTAAATTTAGTTCATACACATCTAAATCATTGAGCACGTAAATGGTTTTCTCAAGCAATTTTGAAAAACAATGTAGTATAGTTATAAGCCTGTAATTTAAAATATTTGACTTATATACAGATTTAAATTGGTGTTATATGGGGAATTTTTAGTTTGTCAGAAACAATATCTGTCTTAAATGAAAGATCAAAAACATGAAAAAAAGAAGGTTCAATAATTTTAAATACTGATTTGACAATATCAACACTAATTTTTATTTTATTACCACCTTCAATTTTTTTTACTTATTACTGCTAAATGCAGCTCTCAGCTCACTAACTTTTTAACTAGTTTTGTTCATAAATTTATCATAAGTTTTTAAATATGTATCAAATTGTAGTAGAGTTTTAGCGGCCAATTTTGAACCAATATTAACAAAGTAATTGTTTAATTCTTCAGCTGTAGTAGATTTATCATAAACTAATTTTCCATTAATTAAAAGATTTTTTGGCGGAGTCTTTTTTTATAATTATTTTTCCAATTAAATCATTAGTTACTTTCCATACTTTTTTAGTGTTTCTATTTGTTTTTTTAATCAGTGAGCATAATAAATCTTTTGCTTTTTCAAACGTATTTTTGTAATATTTATAAGCTATTTCTTTTTTTATACGATTTTTTTAAAGATACTTTATATATAATTTTTTTTTTGAAGAATTTGGTAGCCTTTCGACATCCAGGGACTTTGAAGTGATTTGGTATTAATGATTTTTTTTTCTGAAAAAGCTGCTTGATACTGCTTGCAAAATTGAACGAGAAACAAGTTAAAAGCACTGTTAGCATCACTTGATTGCAAAACCAAATTCCAATCAACATAATTTTTTAAACAGTTTTTAAAATGCTTTAAGGAGTTTTCATTGATCTGTCACCGAAATATTGTGGATTTTGTAGCAATATTAATTAAAATGTTATTGGTAGCTATGAATGTAGGAAAATGATCCGAAAAATTTGTCTGAATTATACCTGTGTAAAGAGAACTATTATAAAAAATGTTAGTTATGAAGTATAAGACTTTTTTGTATCTCTTGTTGATTTATTTATTGTTGGAATGAAGTTATTATCAAGAAGAGTGTTTATAAAACTATTAGCATTTTAATTAGAAGCATAGTTGATTAGGTTGATGTTAAAATCCCCGACCAAATAAATATATTTCTTTGAATTTTTAATTTTGTTTAGAAATGTTTCATGATGAGTTTTAAACTTTTTCATATTACCAGATGGTGGTCTATAAATACTATTAATAACTATGTTTTTTTCAGTTTTTTCTAAGTCAATTCATAATTTGTTTCATCAACACAGGTTGTTACGTAAACTATAATTAAGTGAATTGTAGATAAAAATACTAACGCCCCTACCCGCATTAAATTCACGTGGTTGGTTAATTGATATGTAGTTGGCTGGTTCAAATTATTAATTTGTTTCACCACTTTTACACCAAGTTTCCTTATTATTATTATTAGACATAATATTTAAATCGTGTTTAAGTTAATTTAATAATTTTTTTAAATTTTCAAATTTTTTATTCAAACTTCGAATATTGATATTTAAAATGGAATGAGTGTTTTGATTTTGTCAAAGATGTTGCGAACATTCAGAAACGGAGTAATATTTACTTCCTAACATTTTGTGATTAAAATAATTTGATTCGATGTCGTTATCACCGAGAATGTTATTTTCATCCAAAAATTTAATTATGAAATTTTCCTCCATTTTTTAAACAGTTCAACTTAAAATAATTAATAGTAAAAATAAAATTCTGTTAATTAATGACAATTATTATGAAGATGAATTTTTGCTTTTTTTTGCTACCCAATCGCGAATTATCAATTTATCATAAGATATGTATGCAAACTTACCAGCCGCTCATTTGATTTTCATTTTTTCCCTCAAACCCTTCCTGATTTGCGTTGTTTCAGAACAGCAACCCTCGCTTATATAAATATTTTTCCTTTTCTGATTGCTTGACTTGCTCAAAATTGCAACTTTATCTTTAAAATCTGAAAATTTTATCACTATTGTTCTCGGCTTATTTGATTTTTTTTTCCAGCTATATGGGCCCGTCATTTAGATATACAACTATTCCATCTAATTGAAAAACTATTATTATCCTTGACCACCTGTACGGTTATGACTATTTCCAGAGACCATATATAGCCAGATTCGAATTTTTTTCTTTTTTAATCTCTAACAATTAACTACTACTATTTGTTAAAAATAAAGTATTTGTTCTCGAAAGTTAAACTAAACTTAACAATTTCATTGTATAACTTGTGTTCGGTAGGTCATTAAGGCATCGAATTTATAGAGTCAGTGCAAAGTTGTTTAGCGCACTATGCAAAATTTATTTAAAAGAATATGTGTAAGAAAAAAATAGTTGTATGTGACACAATAATTTGTTATCAATTACACACGTGCTACAAGTAGACAAGAGAATCAAAATTTAATTTTTTGTGCCTTCTTCTACGCAAAGGTTTTTATAAAGTCATTTAATTCCAGTGTCGAACATTTTGCGTCAATTAACGTTACGTCAAAGTCGCTGCTAAATGTTTGCAGCCAGTTAGTTTATCCGCAGATGTTTTTATGCTATATTGGATATATCATAAAGGAAGCCAAACAGAATATTATGTTGTTCTACTTGTTAAAACCTCTCTTTAATAGAATGTATAGCTATGTCCAAGATAGTATAGTTGAATTCTAGCTTGAATTTCTGTTTAGGATTTTTTTGTGTCTCAATTTTATCTCCTTATACAAACTGTCGTTTATGCCATTTAATTTTTACATTTTTTGCGTCCGTTCGGGAAGTATTACCAGATAAACTATTTACCCTAGGTTCTTGAATATACTTTAAAACATTATATATTGCACCTAGTTGATAACTTATAAGCTTCAAAACAATAAATTTACTTTCCTATATTGTTTTGTTGCATAATAAAATAAAATAGCACATTTACAGAAGAATTAAAAACCATTATTGCACACGCACAGAAACGTCATGTCAAGCGCTGGAGTAATTTCTAAATCAATGTTAAAGTTATATAACCATTTGAAATGTTCGAAATTTAAATACTTATATTAAATACAATAATTATAGCATTATAATTGCTTATAGTTTATATGACATAATTAAAGTTTTTATTAGTTATTCTTTAATAATAGCAATAGACGTCTTCACATTTCCGATAATTTCATGCGCGCTCATTTTTAATATTACGTCATGGTACTTTATGCGCAGAATTACATGAAAACAAGTTAATACTCCTATAAATTAAGATAGTAATCTTGAAAGAAACAGTTGTTTACATGAGATTTTTTTAAAAAAAAGACATTAATTTAGTTTAATATAAATTTATTTTACCCATTTTAAGTTTAAAATCTATACTGTTTATATGTTTTTGTTATATAATATTTGTAATCAAGGAAAAAACAAATTTGTATTTTGAGTGTATAAGTATTTAATATTGATTAATAAAAATGAGCTTTCGTGATAGAAGATTGTTAAATAGTAATATATATATATATATATATATATATATATATATATATATATATATATACATATATATGTGTATATATATATATATATATATATATATATATATATATATATATATATACTCACACACATATATGTATATACACACACATATATATGTATATGTATTATATTTATATATATATATATATTATATATATACACACAAACACAACTATCAATGCACATTTGACACTCGAAATGTGTGAAATGCAAAAGATAGCAAGCATTTAAATCACGAGATATTTAAAAAATATGTAAGACAAAATCGAGACTAAAATAAGTAAACCCAAGAAACGATTTTAATGTGATTGAAAAAGTGAATAGCCACCCCTAACAATTATTTATGAAAGTAGTGAAATTATATTTCAATATTAATAATTACATTCTTAAGATTTTTTAACCAGATGAAAAATGTTATTTAAGGTGAGTGCGCCAAGTACAACCAAGGATGGAACAACCAATCTAAACGAACAAAAAAATATATATACAAAAACTGTTCGAATGATTTGTTTAAAAGGGATGTCCAGATATTAAATAGCAAATTAAATAGCACCCTACAACTCGGACGCACAGAATTGTAGGAATACTTTTTGAAGACCCAAATTAATATAAATTTGAATTATTTCGTTCAATATTAAGTATTTATCAGATTTACCTTCAATGATTACGAAAAAAATTTCAAAATTATGTTTCGGAATAAATAACTATTCTTAACTTATTAATAAATTTTATCTTAGATTTTAATGACATACTCTCGCGTGCCTGTAAAGGAGGAATGAGGGGGGGGGGGGAAGAGAGAGAGGGGGGAATAAAAGGGTGTAAATTAGATCAAGTGACAAAATTAAAAATTTCAAGTTTTAACAAATACAAGCACTTAAATACACCCAAATATGATTTTTTATGTATATGCCTAGACTTGCAAAAAAACGCGTTTTTTTCCTTTCGCGTTTTTGGTGTTTTTTTTGCTTTTTTTTTAAGCAATTTTTTAGCTTTTTTTGGCATAAATTTTGAAATAGTTTTTTTAATTCTAGTATATTTTTAGTATCTGATCATTAAAAGCACAATTACATGTATAAACACCAATTTAACATAATTTTTAATAAAAGCCCTATACTGTACTTGATTTCAAGGAAAATTTTAAAGTTTTGAATAATTACTATTTATTGAGTTTCCCAGACCACCTTCATCTGCTAACTCGTAATTTATTTATAATTTATTATTTTATCTGCATTTTTTTAAAAACCTCTTTTAGATAGAAAATCACAACTCAGTTTTTTAATGTGGTTATATTTTGTGTTAATTCTTTTTTAAATTTTATTGCAGAAAAACTACAGCTTTTATATCAAAAATATAAAACATGAATTTCTATAAAATTCTTTGATATCTTTTTTTACAATTTTTTTTTTGGATTTATATAAAATTTCCCTTCATTTGAGAATTAAGTTGATCTATTTTCAAAGAAATATTTTTAAAACAATATTAGCGACATGTTGAATAAAAAATGGCTTTGAGCATGTACTAAATATTGGACAATTAAACTTTAACTGGGTATAAACTAATCACAAAAGATAACCACAGCACATGAAAAATACTGAGTTTTGATTTTATATCTAAAGGAGGAGGAGGAGGAGGGGGGGGGGAAGAGTAAAGACTATATAAAGGATATATATATATATATATATATATATATATATATATATATATATAATATATATATATATATATATATATATATATCAGGGGCTATTCTAGGAAAAAAGTTAAAGCGGCGGTACTCCCCGTCTCGGTGAAAATTAGCGGAAAATCGGCGTTTTTCAAAAATTTTAAATATACACATATATATGTATATATAATATATATATATATATATATATATATATATATATATATATATATATATATATTTAAAATTTAGCATGCTGGTCTTCTCCATAGGCTATCTTCATATGGCGAATCTAGGTAAGTTTTTGAGAATATCAAATTGTTTCTTTCTAACCGCTTTATTATAGTCATCTTTGAAGGCCAGCACTTTTCTTCATTTCCAGTAACTTCTGGGGTACCTGTTTTGTATCTTACCTACATTGATGATCTTCCTGACAACGTTACATCTAAGGTAGTTCTTTTTGCTGATGACTCAACTTTATAATCCTGAAAAAAAGTCTTCTTTTTTCAATCGTTTAGAACAGGCAGGTCTTGAATCTGATCTCACTTCTGTTACAGATGGAGCTCACATTGGCTTGTCAATTTTAACTCTAACAAAACTCAGTTATTTACAGCAAACAACCATCACAAAACTGTTGACACTCCTATATTAATGAATGATAAACCTCTCACTGAGTCCTCTTCTTTAGGTCTTTCTGGATTATTGTTTACTACTGACTTTTCATGTAAACTATATACACAATCGATTGCTAAATTAGCATCCACTAAGGTTGCTTCTCTTTATGGTGCTTGCCATTTTCTTACCCCTGATTCCATTCTCTATCTTTACAAATCTCTTATTTGTCCCTGTATGGAATACTGTTGTCATATTTGTGCTGGTTCTTTTAACAGTGGTGTACACTGGACTTTTAGATGTTTGAATTTTGACACTTACAGGTATTGTGCAAACTCCAAACTTTTGTATGTTCATACTTATGTCAAATGAGAATGTTTTGCAAAAAGTTGTGGTGATTGGAGCTTGGGGACAAAAAAAACCCAATTTTTGGGCCCACCCAGCCCTTAATGTGGGAGCAACAAGTTGATAAAATAATTTTTTTAGTATTTTTATCTAAGCTTATATTCATCAACAAGTTTTCATTTTTCAAATTTCATCCAATAATTTCTTATTTTTCGAAAATTATGACTATATAAAGTTTTAACCCCCTCAATTTGAGGGGGCTGTAAACTTTGTAGTGTCATAAAAACTAAAAACTAAGTGGTTATTGCATGAAATTTGAAATTCGTTGATGAATATAAACTTAGATGAAAATACTAAAGAAATTATTTTGTCAACTTGTTGCTCCCACCTTAAGGGCTGGGTGGGCCCGAAAATTGGGGTTTTTTTTGTCCCCAAGCTCCAATCACCACAACTTTTTGCAAAACATTCTCATTAATAGTATCAATAATAAGGGCAAGTCTGTAATTCCACCTCTTTTGTACAGTTCAGACTTTGTCACCTCACCTAAAGGGCATTTCCAAAAAATCACGCACGGAAACTCGTATATGTTTTTACTTTTATTTTCATAAAAATAAAACTAGCGAACTCCAATTTACTCTCATTTAATTCTAATTAATATAAATATTTTGTAAACAAAAAATAGTAAGCATTAGTAATGTTAACAAAGAATAAATAAAGTTTGAAATGGAATCACGCACAGAACAGAAAAACTTCTATTTTAGTTACTAGATAAATAAACTTTAATTCCTCGGACAATATAAGTTTCACCAGTATACTTTTTTTTTTAAATAATATTTTAAACATTAGTAAAGATTTCCAGAAAGTTACAGGATTGCACTATGAATCATAGAGTCACAGCAATCGTTTAAATGCAGTTTATGAATGATCACACACGGATGTTGCAAATTTGTCAATTTCATGTAGTTATTTTTATGAAGATAAATTGCTTGTGAGTATTTCAAGTGAAATATTATACTTCTGCGACTCATATTTAATATATTTTTGATGAGAAACCGCAGTCATCGATTATTTCTAGCTAGAGTATGGCGTTTAGAAAATTATTGTATATTTTTCAAAATGTAGCGATATTATTACTCAAAAAAATAAAATTGTAAAAATGTGCATATTTAATTTGTTCAGATTCAGCCTAAAATATGATAAAAATATTTTTGTTATAATTGTTCTTTAAGAAAATCAAAATAGTATGCATATTGCATAAAGTCCCAGCTTTTAATTGCTAAAACAAAGAAAAATAAAAAACCACGCAAAGAAATGGAAATGCCCTAAAGACAAAGCTGAATTGTTTGCCAAGAAGTTTTCGTCAATATCATCTCTGGATTCCACTAGTTGCGTTCTACCTGATATAGCCGTCAAACAGGTTGATCCACTGCTCGACATCTGTATCACTCCAACTTCTGTATCTAAATTGATTTCCTGCTTAGACTCTTCTACAGCTTGCGGCCCGGACAACATACCTGTTATGGTCTTGCAGAAGTGTTCTCCGGAGCTGTCGTCTATCCTTTCAAAACTAATTAACAAGTGCTTATCAGAGTCTTGTTTTCCAGCCTGCTGGAAAGCAGCATCTGTTATCCCTATTTTTAAAAATTCTGGAGAGCGATCTGATTCATCTAACTACCGCCCCATTAGTCTTCTTCCTATCATAAGTAAGGATTTTGAATCTTTAATTAACAAACACTTAATCTCTCATCACGAATCTCATAACCTACTTTCTGATCATTAATATGGATTTCGATCTTCTCGTTCTACAGCTGATTTGCTAACAGTTATTACCGATAGGTTTTATCGCGCATTAGATAAAGGTGGAGAGGTTAAGGCCATCGCTCTTGACATTTCTAAGGCGTTTGATAAAGTTTGGCATGCTGGTCTTCTCCATAAACTTTCTTCTTACAGTGTATCTGGAAACATCTTTAAGATTATCGAATCCTTCCTTTCCAATCGTAGTATAAAAGTTGTCCTTGATGGACAGCACTCTTCTTCTTATTCTGTAACCTCAGGGGTTCCTCAAGGTTCAATCCTTGGCCCTATACTCTTTTTAATTTACATTAACAATTAGGGCTGTACCGGATTTAATTTTTCCAAATCCGGCCGGAGCCGGATTTGCCGGATTTTTACTAACAGATCCGGCGGGAATCGGAGCCGGAGCCGGATTTTGAAGCAAAACTACAGGAACCAAAATCCTGTATATCCCTACTTGGTGTTGAAAATGGTCAACAATGTTGACTATTTAGATCACCAAGTGACAGTTCCCGACGGGCATTTCTTTTTAAAAGTTACGATCTAAATGTATTTTAAATGTCTTTTAAACGTCTTTTAAACATTAATGTTTAAAAGACGTTTAAAAGACATTTAAAACACATTCAGAACGTAACTTTTAAAAACAAATGCCCGTCGGGTTGTTTTCTATTAAACATCATTTTTGTTGTTTAAAAGTTTTATAGCAATTTCTATAGAAATTAATAGACATTTTATATAAATTTTATAGAGTTTCTATAGGCCATATGTTTCAAAAATTTAGAGAAATTCTACAGAACTTTTTTTCCCGGGATGTTGTCACTCCGCCACTGTAGTGAATCAGCGTGTCTATATATTTCTGATTCTTCCAGATATTGGCTTAGCTGAGTGTCAATGCCTGTTGGTAATTGTTGTTCATGTGCTGTGCCACAAGCGGGCGTAGAATGAATAATTTCATCTATATATATTGCCATTGTAATGATGATAATGTATAAGAATTATCCAGCAGGGATTGTTTTGCTGGATTTTTTTTATTTTTTTCAATCTAAAAAGGTTTCTCCTCAATGCCTTTGAAACGCTCATCTAATGAGTTGATTAGGATTGACTTCATAGTCTTTACACCTGCATTATTGCAGAATATCGTGTGTCTTCTCTTCAGAATTTTTTGTTGCGTTCTTGTTTGAAATTAGGCTTAGCTAATTAAATTGTAAAAAAATGTAAATACAGATACCAAAACAGTTCAAAAATTAAGTATTATGTATACATGTTATCACGGGTAAGAAAGATGTAATAAACATCCAGAAATCCGGCCAAAATTATGACGGATTTGCTAACATTTTGCCGGAGCCGGATTTGGGACGGATTTGTAAAAATGGCCGGATTTCGGCCGGAGCAGGAGCCGGAGCCGAAATTCGGTACAGCCCTATTAACAATCTTCCAGATATTCCCACATCTAAGGTGGCATTGTTTGCTGATGATACTACCATTTATTCTTGTCACGATAAGAAGCCAACTCCCTCTGATTGCTTGCAGGGGGCATCTGAGCTTGAAAAGGATCTCACTTCTGCTAAAGCATGGGGCTCACAGTGGCTGGTGAACTTTAATTCAGAAAAAACTCAAATTTTTTCAGCCAATCGTTATCACAATAATTTAGACCTTCCTATATTTATGAACAGTAATGTACTAGATGAGTCTCCTACCCTTCATCTTCTAGGATTAACTCTTACTTCTGATCTTTCTTGGAAACCTTATATCAAATCCATTGCAAAATTAGCATCTCCTAAAGTCGCTTCTCTTTATCGAGCTCGTCACTTTCTTACTCTAAATTCTATTCTCTATCTCTATAAATCTCAAATCTGGCCTTGTATGGAATACTGTTGCCATATCTGGGGTGGATCTTCTAATGATGCCCTTTCTCTTTTAGACAAGGTGCAAAAACACATTGTAAACATAGTTGGACCTACTCTTGGACCTACTCTTGCAGCCAACCTTCAACCTCTGTCACATCGTCGTAATGTTGCTTCTCTTTCTCTTTTCTACAAATACTATAATGGGCACTGCTCTAAAGAGCTAGCATCTCTTGTGCCATCTACAAAAATTCATTCTCGTGTTACTCGTCATTCAATAAAGTCTCATCCTTTTTCTGTTACTGTTCTTAAGTGCTCCAAAAACTCTTATTCGTCTAGTTTTTTTCCTCAAACATCAGTTCTTTGGAATTCGCTTGCTTTCCTGATTCATATAATTTGCAATCTTTTAAGTCGTCTGTCAATCGTTATCTTGCTCTACAATTTTCATCTTTTCTTTTCCAGTAACTTCCAACACTAATTAGTGGTTGCTTGCAGCCTTGTTGGAAGCGAAGATGTTGAAAAAAAAAAAAAAAAAAAAAAAAAAAATTGACATAAGTATGAACATACAAAACTTTGAAGTTTGCAAAATACGTGTCAAAACTCAAACATCTAAAAATCCAGTGTCCACCACTGTCTAATGATGCTTTTTTCTTTCTAGACAAGGTCCAAAAATGAAAAATGAATAGTTTGATCCACTCTATCTGCTAAGCTTGAGCCTCTTTCCCATCATTGTAAAGTTCCATCTCTTTCTCTTTTCTACAATTATTATAATGGTCGTTGCTCAAAGGAGTTATCATCTCTAGTTCCATCAAATAAAGGTTATTTGTGCTTGACTCATCATTCAGCTAAGTCTCATTCATTTACTGTATGTCTCTGTATGCTCTAAAAACTTTTATTTGTCTTGTTTTTTTCTGCCCATATCAACCCTTTGGAACTCTCTGCCAACTTCATATTTTCCTGACTCATACAACCTACAATTTTTCAAGTCTTCTGTCAACCATTTTTTTTTCTCTATAACTCTTTATTTTCCAATTTACTCCCAACTTAATAGTGGTTGAACCTTTGTTGGGAGTGATTCAGAATAATATATATATATATATATATATATATATATATATATATATATATATATATATATATATATATATATATATATATATATATATATATTTTCAAGTCGATTAAGGTGCCCCAAGAAGCCCTTGCGGTCTTATCACAGAGCACCGCGGAAGAGCATTTAATAGGAAGTTCATGCCTCCTTCCTAACCGATGTCGCAAAACTTGCCCAGAGGTGGGGTTTGAACCACGGATCTTACGTTTCTGAAGCAAGTGCGCTATATATATATATATATATATATATATATATATATATATATATATATATCTATATATATATATATATATATATATATATATATATATATATATATATATATATATATATATATATATATATATATATATATATATATATATATATACATATCTATATATATCTATATCTAAATATATATTTATATATATATATATATATATATATATATATATATATATATATATATATATATATATATATATATATATATATATATATATATATATATCAGATAATGAATTTAATTAAATAAAATAAATGTAAATGAACTATGTTTGTGTCAATATTTAACACTAAAACCAATTCACATAAAATTGAGGAAGATAAAATTATCTAAGAAGTTTTTATACAGGACTGCTTTAACTGTAATAAACTTTAAGCATACCAAAATAAAAAGAATCTCAGTATTGATTGTCCTATTTAAATATGAAATTAAAATATGAATTGAGAATTTCCATAAAAGTTAAATATAGCAGCTTAAATAATGAAATCTTAAATTTTTTGCAATAATAATAAAAAAAAACAACAGATTCCTGCATTTTTTTCCCAAAGGAATGACCAAAATAGACCATAGAAACAGAACCAAAAAAACACATCACACCTCTATATGAGACCACACCATACACATCATTACCATAGCTTTTTTTTTTGTAACTAGGTGATAACTAGGTAGGGTTCAAAAAAAATGTTTTTTAAGCAATAATATAAGCAAATAAACAACAATGAATACAAGAAATTAAATCTAATTAGAAAATAAAAATAAAATTATTATCGTTTAAAAAACTTATTTATCCTGATCCTGAATAGTCAGAAAAACGTGGAGTTTTTCACTGAAACAATTTAAAAAAATTTAAAACAAAATATAATAAATAATGGACAAAAAATATCATCTTTTAAAATCAGGTTACAATTGACAGGTTGAACATGTTGACTAAAAAACATTTTCAACTTTTTCAGTTATTGGAAAGTTATATAAAATAAATTCTGGCATTTTAAATGCTCATTATATTTATCATTACTAAAGACTTTTTTGATTCATGCAACTAAAAAAAACTATTTAAAAAAGTAAAATATATACAACTTTTGTTCAATATAAATATGCAATTTGATTTTTGATAAAGCATACATACTTTGTAAATCTGAACTTGTTATAAGCAAGAATCCTTGCCTGATTTGCAGGCTCCTAAAAAAAATTCAACTAGCTTATTAAAAGGAATATATTTCTTATTAATATATACAATATATATTTTTATTGCAAATTTAGCTAAGTAATATGAAATCATACTGAAATATATTATAATATTTATATAATTTCATATTATATATAAATATATATTTATATATAATATGAAATCATACTGAAGACTTCAGTATTCATAAAGTGAGACTATTTAAGAACTATTATATACTTATTTTTTATTATTAATAACAAAAAAAAATGTAAATAATTAAACTAATTTACCATGAACTGCTTACAATACAACTGCCAATATTTAAATTTGACCTGAGGGTCAGAAACATTTCGAAATTCTTGCCAATATTTGCTTACTATTTCTTTCCTCAGCTCGTTAGACATTCTAATATAAACAGATGTTAAGATAAATAAGTTCTGCATTAAATAAATCTGGCATAAGTTTTGCGTAAACTGGCAAATGTTTATTTTAGAAGATATAATTGTCGACAATATCAATTTACCACTTTCATTAGCAAACAAATGTTGCCTTCATTAACTTGGACCAATATTTTAAAATGTTTTGTTACTTAATAAAGATTTCAGTTAACCACTCATTTGACAGTAAAACCGAGTATGCAGCAAATGCATTTACAACATAATCAGTTTAATACTTTTCAAGTGCATAATTCAAAAATTGCTAAAAATTAAAAATAATTAAATTACTTGCAAATATAAATAAGCATAAATTATCCATAAATTATCATTTTTTAAAAATGCAGAAAATTGTTTGGATAAAATATCCATAAAAAATCAGGAATATATTTTCCCTTATTTTCCTTTTAATTTTGCTTTTAGCTGAGTTGTTTCTGATTTTTTTTCAAATTTTTCATTTTTTTTATTGAGTTATGACTGAAAAAGCTTTAAAAACAAATAGATTACATTATTTTATTCTATGGAAGCTTTACTAAAAGAAAACCCAACAAAACTCATTATTTTATTCTCTGGAATCTTTCCTAAAGAAAAACTCAACAAAACTCATTTTTTATTCTCTGGAAGCTTTACTAAAAAAATTATATAAAAAAATTCCTACAACACAAATGCATAAGAATCTTATTACTTGGTATATACTGAGAAAGTACATACTAAAAAAATCACCTAAGAAAATTATTTATCTAATAAATGGATAGTCTTAATTTTCAAGTTTTAAGTATCAATCCACTGGCTAATCAATCTAATTGAACAATGAAACTATTATTTAAAATAAAATTTGCACTATGTTTTGAGAAAAAAAAACACTTTTCTTTAATTTTAATACAAAGATTTCCTTATTTTTACAGCTTTATTTTTTTACTAGCCACCTAATTTTGCCAAGAAGAAAACACAAACATTTTAATTTAAGTTGGCACTAATAGGTGTATATTTTTGGGTTTTATAACGCCTTGGGAAATAATAAAAATAATAAATAAATAATAAAAGATTTTGCAACCTTAGAGATGTATCTAAATGAACCGAACAACTGATATCAAGGAATGATAATTGTGATAACTGTCCTTATATTTTTTTTATACTTGTTTAATTTCTTGAAACTTTTTAGTGAGTTTAAACATTTTTCACTATTGGAACAGTAATGTGTAAAAGTTTACTAGCAATTTTGCAAGCAACACCTTGTAACCCAACTGCTCTTTAAAAAATGTGTGCGTTTGCAGCGTTTAGAAAGCTTTTTATTGGGCCATGCATTAATATTTTTATATACTAACTGGGTATCCATTTTGTGACCATGTTGCTGCATTAATGTTGTAACGATTTTTAAAATATTTAATTTAAGATTCAAGTCCTCGATATGAGAGCTAGGCCTCTACAGTTTAATATATTTTAAAATATCAAGATAAATATAAATTTAGAAATTGTGAAAAATGAATTATTCAGATTTAACTTTTACATTATTTTTGAAATTTAAAAGCGTTTTTCTTTGCGTCTAAAATACAACTCTTGGTTCGAAAATTATTCATTGTTTTGCAATGATTTTTTTATTTTCAAAACAACAGAAAAATTATAATTTCCAATTTGAAACATTTTAAAATGTAACTGCTACTATTAAATCGCTGACCTGATTGAATACTTAGAAACCAGAGCCAATGTTATACCAGCTTTATTTATGTGCGACGCCAAAAAAATGCAACCGAAATAACTAACGCCGTAAACTCTTACGCAAAAATCACGTGATACATGTTTTTCTAGATTCTGCTTTCGTTTTTCCCGGTACCTTGGTTTTTCCGATTTACAGGGTTATTCATTCTTATATGCGCGTCTATTCATTTTTATATGCGCCTTTATTCATTCTTATATGCGCATTTATTCATTTTTATATGCGCCTTTATTCATTCTTATATGCGCATTTATTCATTTTTATATGCGCCTATATTCATTTTTATATGCGCATTTATTCATTTTTATATGCGTCTTTATTCATTTTTATATGCGCCTTTATTCATTCTTATATGCGTTTTACAAAAGCAATTGTAAAAAAGCAATTTGAACAAAAAAAATCATTCAAGCAATTTGTTTTGAAAAAATAGTTTATTTTTTCAAAACAAACTTTTCTTATTTCCAGGTAAACGAGGTTAAAAATACTTAAAACGAAGACTTTTTAAATTCGACGATGGTTTATTTAATTTAGTATTAGTTCTTTGTAATTTTATTATTAAATTTCTTGATGGATTAAGTTATTATTTATCTAATTATTCATTTATCTCGATTTAAATTTACTTATTTATAATTATTATTAATATCAAATTATACATCCCTATGTTTGTATATGCGTCAACCACCCATAAAATCTCTAATATAATTTAATATAAACGATAAATACGCTTTTAAATTTTTATATAGACATATTTAAAATATAAATTAGGTTGTTTTCATTGTTATTTATTTAGGAAATGGTTGCCGAGCCAGCGCTTGATTTATATAACTACGCATATGGTTGTAAAATGGAACTATATTAAACTCTGTAGTATCCATAATATTTTTAAGTTTCCTGATTACCTCATCCGTATTTCGAGGCCTTTCTCCCTGTTTGTAAGTATGTTTTAAAGAAGAAAAAAATTCTTCTATTGGATTAAGCTGTGGCGTGTAAGCTGGCAGATACTTAATAGCTATACCATGAGAGGCTTGTGTTTGCCTAACAGAAAGACTCCAGTGGAATTTACAATTGTCCATAGCAAGCACCGGCGCTTCCACATTTGCATTCCTAATCGCTGGTGCCATCATTGTAGTTATGAAAGTACAAAATTAGCGAATAACCATATGTGCTGTTAGTGTGCACATTAAATCCAGTTTCATCCAAATAAATAAGTTTTTCATCTGAAATTCCGTTAATTTCGCTTGCAAATGCATAGCGTGCATTAATAATTCGTGTTGAATTTCGTTCTTCTGGCACATGCACAACATGTTTTCTTGATAAATCCGAGCGTTTGAGTTTTCTTGAAATAGTAGGCTGAGACATGTTGAAGCCTGCTGCAGAAAGATTTTCTTTTATTGTTTCTTGCGTGCAAAGATTGTTTTCTTGTACGTATAATTCGATAATATTTTTTATTTGAGCGTTTATAGGTCTTTCACCGTTTTTTATCAGAAGACGACTTGAATGCAGTCATGTCGTCGAATTCTCCTCTGTTTAACTTAACGACAAGATTTTGAACTGTGCGCTACGATAAATTAAGAGAAGTGGAAATGCTTGTTGTAGATTGATTTCTTTCAACTAAATGTTTAAGCATTTCAATGTGCTCTTTTGTAACATTTTTCCTTGTTTTACGATTATTTTCTATTCCATCCATAGGGTAAAAATTTGATATTAATAATTTTAAATAATTAAATAATAAATCTAGAAAAATAAATAATTAGATAAAAAATAACTTAATCAATCAAGAAATTTAATACAATAATACAATTTAATATAATGTGATAAAATTAAACAAAAAACTAATACTAAGTTAAATAAACCATCATCGAATGTAAAAAGTCTTCGTCTTATAAGTATTTTTAAACTCGTTTACCAGGAAATAAGAAAAATTTGCTTTGAAATAATAAACTGTTTTATCAATGATTTTATTAAATGATTTTTTTTGGTTCAAATTGCTTTTTTACAATTGCTTTTGTAAACCACATAAAAATGAATAAATGCGCATATAAGAATGAATAAATGCGCATATAAGAATGAATAAAGGCGCATATAAAAATGAATAAATGCGCATATAAAAATGAATAAAGGCGCATATAAAAATGAATAGACGCGCATATAAGAATGAATAACCCTGTAAATACTATTCTTTTCCGTTTTTGTTTTTTTTAAGCAGTAATGTATGGGGTTTCCCACCTCATTTCGGCATTGTTTCATACAATTTCGACATTATAGCAGCACATTTCGACAATATTGCATACTTTAAATAATATAAAAATAAAAACAGTTTGATTATTTTAAAACTCCTTAAGATTATATAAATTTTTTGTTTGTATGTAAACTATATTTTTTTTGTTTAAACCTAGTTTAAACAAAAAAACTATCAAGTTAAAAATATTGTAATTACAAATACAGATGTAATTGTATTCAAATATATACAAAATTTGTATATATTTGAATACTATAACATCTGTATTTGTAATTCCAAAATTTTTATTTTTTATTTGCTATTGCTCAAAACAGTTATTCTAATTTTTTTTTGTAGTATTCAATGCACCATTTTGAATATTTTCGAAAAGTTTCTCCCCAGTTTTAGACAAACATCTTCTGATAAATTTTTTCTGTTCAGATAATATATTTTTAATAGGATTTAAAGAGAATAATATGGATCATAGAATGGGCATTCTTTGATGTTTTTGCACGCCCTTATTTTATTTTGAACATTTGGTGACTTTATAGAAACGAATTTTATCTAAAACTAAATAGCTCCCACAATTTTATTAACAGATAAAATTGTGCTCAAAGTTATTTATATTTTATTTGTTTAACACTAGACAAATAAAATATGAATAACTTTCTGTATTAAATCCTTTTGCTTGTGCTTCATATTTCAAAACTCCACTTTAGTTCATTGCACAACAAGCGTAAATATGCAGTGGATTTAACCTGTTCGTTTAAATCCAACAATATTTGCAACTAGCAGTAAATTTAATGGTAAATTTCTATCTAAATAAAATTTAACTATCCTTAAACGGTTTTCATTGTTGATTGTTTGATTCGGCCTTGTTGTTTATAAATATTGAAAAAGATATTTAAATTTTTACTATGAACACTAATTGTATTGTCGGAATGAACAATATTTTGGATTATGAATATGTTTGTGTTTTTTAGATGAAAAATTATGCTATTGATTTATTGTTTGATGACATTTTATAATCATTGGGATATAATGTATTAAGTGATAAAAAAACAAACAAACAAATGCAATAAACCTATTTATAGTTTGAAGATGTGCTACACCAGGCCCCTCAATGCTGTCGAAAATAAAAACACAAAAGCTACAGAAAAAGCATAAATTGTGCCTCTAAAAGTTGTACAACTTAGCGTTACTTTTCAGGTTATGCTTTCTTAAAATACACTTGGCTTTACTGTTTAAAGGTTTTTGCGGTACAAAAGAACTGATTTGTTCAAATTGACGCATGATTTTAAATTGTTCTATAAGGTCTGCTCTTTTACGGTGTTCTTCAATCTGTCATACGACAGATGTTTAATAGAGGATATTGTCCTTGTTGCTCGATGTTGGATTTGCTTGAGGACAGCAATGTTGGGCTAAATGCGGCAACCAGCCTTGCACAGCAAACTCGAATTGGGGGCAAATATAAATAAGATACAGTGTGCGCCATAAATAAAAACTGCAACTGTAAAATGTAAAAGCTGTAAAAACTGTAAAAACTGCAACTGTAAAATTTTTTTGAATAGCCATAGCGTTCTGTTCGGTATTGATGCAGCTGAATTTAAGGTAATCACACAAAGGTCTTGTTTGAGAACAGTCTTTTTGAGTTGAAAACGCATGCCGTTGATGTTGATCACTGAGTATTAGAGTGTCGACATGTTATATGCGCGGCCAAAATGCATTACTTTGCATTTCTCAATGTTGAAATGCATGAACCAAATATGTGACCATTCCACTGCTCTGTCAATGTCAGCTTGGAGAGTGATGGTGACCGATTCATTTTTAAATATGCCAATAACTTTACTATCTTCAGCATTCAGCTTCATATGATGATTGATGCTGTCCGTTAGATCATTAATGAAAACACAAAGAGTAATAGGCCCAAGACCGAGCCTCGAGGCACGCCACTAGTAACCGCTTGTCATTCAGATGTGATACCATTGATGACCACTCTTGTGAATTCGGTCAAGTACTAAGCTGAGATCCAGTCTAAGAGCGCCCATTGAATATCGTAAGCTCTTAAATTATGAAGACGACGTTTATGCGGCACTTTGTCAAACGCCTTCGCAAAGTCTTTATATACGACACTTATTGCGTGACTGCGATGATTCGCTTTCGTCATGATGTCCCGAGTTTCAGACAGGTTTGAGACGCAACCCTTGCGATAAATAAATCCATGATGCTTCGGAGTAATTAAGCCATTGGCAACACATTGTTCCATTATGCTTGTTTGAAAAATACTTTCCATTATTTTGCACGGAATGGATGTGAGCGAGATAGGAAGGTAGTTTGATGCATTTAGTTTACTCCCCTTCTTGAAAACAAGCATTAGATTTGATTTTCTCCGCAAGTTGAAAACTATACCAGTTGCGAACAAGCACTTGTAGATAAATGAAAAAGTTTGGAAAAGTTAGCTGTACTTTGCTAATGACCCGTGGATGTAAGTCGTCGCAACTGGTTGACTTTCATTCATTAAGGTGGTTGTGGCACTTTTGTACTATTTTGATAGAAAAACTTGCTGGGTTGATGACACAAATTGCTTTAGTACAACTTTTAAAAGCTGGCACTGGACCCTTGGGCTCAAAAATAAAAGCCGATTAAAAATAGTTATTCAACAATTATTATATATCGCCGGTATCAGTAGTGATGATGCAATTAGCTGTTTCTAACAATGTAATAGTGTTCCTGCCTGTCTTTTTGCTTCTTGCATGAGCATGTAAGCGTTTAAGGTTGCTTTTGAACTTTATACTTTTATATATTATATACTGAATACTTTTTCAAAGATTATTATTAAATAGAGTAAAATGGGGTAATTTCGCCACTTTAGAAATTTCGCCAATTGGTGTATATAACTATAACTT